TGTTTGCTTTACAGACGCCGCTTGGGACAAATTTGATGAAAAGAAAAAATAACAAAGGTATGATATCTTTGTTTTCTCCTAATGAAACTTACAAACCTGCTTCTCAAATGTCGCACTGTATATTTTAGAAAAGCATGTTTCAAAGGGAATCTCATGGAGGTGAGATCCTCCAGGCGAGAGTCAAAGAGAACTGCAGATCTCCTCAACAACCTTCTTTTAGGTTAGATATGACAAAAAGCTTGATTAGGTTTGTTTGAAAGCATTCGGTAAGGAGACCTTGTCAAAGAAAGCCTCGGTTGCCGAAAAAGGCGTTTAATTAATTGCTACTTCAATTTTTTTAATCAGGAAACAGATATTGGTGGAAAAAGATGAAAACGGTGCAACCAGAATTGCCGAGTGTCATTTTACGAGCAGAGATAACTAGCTAGACTAAATTTGTGGAGAATGAAATGTTGGGCCAATTTCATTTGACTTGGCATCGGAAGAGTATTAGGATGTTTTTGGCAAAGGGTTTGGGCGACAATTCAAAGTCTTCAACAGTATACTTCTTACCTTTGACCTTTCACGAGAAAGTGCCAAAGAAATCTTGCTTGCGAGGTGTGCCTTTGCTTTTAGTTCAGGCAAGAGTCACGTTCACGCCATGGATTCTGTTTTCCTTGAATCTTCAGCATTTATTGTACATCGAGCAGTGTTTATAGTGCGATCATTTTTTTTCAGCTGTCAAATATGATTTAGATATTGTGCTGATTGTTTTTGTTTGGCAAGCAGTCGCCGATCTCAAATCCTACGAAGGCTACTGTTGACACACTAATTCCTGAAATTCCTTTCGTCCGCCGGTGAAGTTTATGATTTTTAATTTCTATGGTTCCTATCTGGCTTTAATATTTCCCTGCTATAAGTCTCTAAATTTTGATCTCGAGCATATCGTGGTTTCACATAAATGCAGTACGGGGGCCTCAACGGAATTAATCGTTAGCCATAAAACGGCCAAGAAGTTTAGCCGTTGCGCGTGAAAATTGACAAATTTTAACCGGTAGTCGTAAAATAACCAAAATTTTTACCGCTAGTTAGTCCCTCCAGTATCTAAGCGTGACAAGGAATCAATGGTTGATTGGATACTGTACTTGTTTCTTGTGCCCGTGATATCTTCAGCTTAAAACCAATAACCTCTTATAACTCACATAGGCTAAAGATTTACATCCAACGAGATTTAAATACCTCGATAAAAACCTTTGCAAACAATGTTCGCCTTTACATTAACATCATCTTTAATCTGTGGTCTCTCTACATTGCAATCTATTTCAATCTCCGCGTTTGAGTGAGGTGAGAGAAAAAGTCAGCATATTTCTCAACGTGATAGTGTTTGACATGATCGCGACGGAAACTGAATTTTTGTGTTTCTTTGTACAATAGCAAGAGAACCAACTTGGAAGTACGGAGGGCAAAACAAATGTGTTTATGGTAATGGTTAATTAATTTCTCAACTTTACTCCGATTTTTTTTTCGCTTTAGAAAAAAAAAATCATAGCTGAATTTATGTTGCAGCATAGAAAGTCTTTCAACATTTTTTCTTGAGTTGAACTTTTCAAATCAATAAAAGTAATCAAGCAGTTAAGACTTGCTACGTGTGAGAAATCCCGCCACTTGACTTTACCTAACTTGCGTTTAATTCAAACATTCCAGCCGTAACGCCTCCAGGGAATTATTCAACCTACCAATATTATTTATTTCAAAACAAAATGAAAGTAGTGCATTCATATAATTTGTTGATACTATATAAACAATATGAAAATGTTATTGGAAAAAAAATGTTGAGCAACAGTCAACAGCCATTGAAAATGTATGGACGAATGCAAACCGTGACTTGTTTTGACCTTTTTTTATTAGTATAACAACAATTTCCATGGTATAATATAATTTAGCGAGTTGGATCTGCTTTTGCCGCACATCCGGTTCACAAGAATGTAATAAATAAGTAATTTTCAGAAGCAAAAAATTATAATATCGCAGCTTTCTTTTACACAGTGTTTTGTCACTTGAATTTTTATGAAATTGTTTGGCGGTTGTTGGTTTTTATTTCCATCTCAAAAGCCACCTATTTCAGTTTTTCCTTGCTGTGCTCAAAAAAAACAGCTTTTATATTCGGTTTCTGACATAGGGTTCAAAACATGAATTTTTCAACGAAAAAAGCCTATTCGCATCGGCGTATAATAGCCAGTGTTAAATTTTTTATCTAAAAAATCAAACCAAGTTTGTCATTAAAAGAAAAAAGTAAAAGTTAAACTTGTTTTCAAATCCGAAATAGAAAACTCTAGGCACAGGTCAAGTTATCTAGGAAAAAAAGATCTTTAAAAAAACTGTATGTTACAAGTGACATATTAACTAACGAAATTTGCTCAAGAAAAGTCAGAAACGGAAAAGTGAAGAGCTTCAAAGGCAAGTCCAGCAAATATTCCCAGAATTCCACAAGGTGATTTCGTTCCAGTGTCATCCTTTTACACTGTCTATTTCGTTGATTCAATGTCAGAATTGCTTTAGTGATGCTATTCAACTGAATAGTATACGACGCTGTATTTCCCTGTTATAATTAAGAAACGTGCTAGCGAAATTTAGAATCAAAGGTAATTTGAAGACGTCTTTTAACTTACCGAAACGGCGTGAAACCTATATTTGGCTCGAGAGGGCGGCGAGGTTTGCTTTAAATTAATATCCTGCCAGCATTACTCTCAAATGAATTTCCTAATATATTAGTTTATACCGACCAAATATATTACTATCCGAAACTGAACTAAATCTGAACAACAAAGAGTAACTGCGAAAAAGAATGCAGAATATATAGAGGACTCTAGCTGAGAAGTTTTTCCTTTATACTCTTATATATTACATATAAGTCGCTTTAATTGAACTACGTGTCGGCTAAAGGTCAGTCACATTTATTGTAAAAACTGGCTTGAAGTTAAAATAACACTCTGTATTCACAAAAAGCGCTCGGACAAAAGCAAGCCATTGTCTTTTTTAGGAATTGTAATCCCAAAGAAGATTGTTACCTAAACAATCTCTGTGCTCAATAACACAATACTTATCCCATTCACCTTTTTCGTGTGAGCGATTTACAGAGTTTCTTTTACAAATGGCGCTGAAATAACGCCAAGGTAAATGTCAGATGAACCCAGCTCCGCGGGAGGAATCCTTCTCCCTTTTTTGGCACTGGGGAAACTTACCAGAAAGATTTTAGTAGCATCATACTGTTGCCAGTGACATAAGGGAACGAGAATTCTTAATTCAGCCTAAAATCTTTGTCGGTTTACAGTGGCACAGAATAGGCTAGAAATGACAAAAGCGTTGAATTTCTAGACGAAAATATCCGATATCTCCAAATACCCTTCAAGCAAAGGAAGCAAATGCTCATTATTTGATGTGAAAGAAATCAAAGGTCCCAGAAAACTAACCCAACCAACCTTTACGTTCTGCGCAAATTTATTTTTGAGTCATTTCGGTGTGTCACTTTATGAAGTGGGTTTCTTTATTGATCATTTTAGTAATACTCGCCTTTTAAACGAATTTCACTCCATCAAAAAATTTAGACGAGAAAATCTGAAAATATAAACTATTCCTCTTGGTGAGTCGTGCGATAATAGAACTTGCATGTATCTAGCGTCAATTTTTTAGTCTGCTAAGTTTTTCAGGAAATTGAAAAAGTAGGACTGCATGTCAGTAAAACGTCCGTACTAATAACATTTAGTCATCAAACCGGAGACTGATTTAGTGATGTACATGGCAGTTAATTGAATTAAGACTAACATAAGAAATGAAAGACAGCGTTTCGGTAAAGGTTGTTTCAAAGTTAATGAGACATGACGCAGTTCTGAAGAAACAGGTGAATGACCAAAATAAATTTGAAGTGAAGAGACAATACTTTGAATTTTAATGGGGAAAGTAGTAACTTGGCATTGATCTTTGTGGAAGGCATAACGCTCGAAATTAATTTAGCATGTTTTACACTGGCAAAAGTTTCTCATCATTTCTTGACATGACATGACTTTAATTCAGAATTCTTTTCTTAGATTTAAAAACTCAATTATTTCACCTTTAACAACAAGTAATAATGCCACGCATTATGTTTTGATCAGCATTTCGCTGTTTTTAACCTAATTATTTTAAGACCTTTGTATATGCTCAACAGGGAAGAGAGCTAATACACAACTGCTTGAAGACTTTTAACCAAACACTCCCACCAGGAAAAATCATGTCCATATTTCGATTTGACTGATTCTAATATGTCCTTAGTAAGCGAGAATATTCGTTGTGGCACTTTCCTGAGAAAATAAAACTCGCCCCTAATGGAATATAACGGCTGAAAGCGGAAAATAACGGATATTAAGTCGATAAACAAGTCAAAACTATTTCATGAAAACGAGCGCTTTAAACTAAACAAAGTGAATTTGTGTTTGCTGTTAAAACTATCACAAAGCAACTGTAAATGAAATTTCGGTTAACAACAAAGGCAAGAGGGTTATTTTTCAAACAGAAAGACGTCTCAAAGAGCTTTCCTTGAGTCTTCTCCAAAACAACATCTAGAAATTAGGAGAAAAGCTTTGCGAGTGTCAATCGAAATGTCTTTATCAAACCATAAATGATAAAACTCTCAAAATTTTGTAACTGATTGATCTTTCTCTGTCTGTATTTAAGTCCCATACAGAAAAAGCTTGAAATGTTCAAAACTTTGAAAGCCCACGCTTTGTTTCTAACTTCAAAAATTCCTATTGTAAAACATTGGATAAAAATTTCTGTAGGATCTTCGCTCAAACCTTTGTCTCATATGCCTGGGTTGGGAGTAGGTAATTAAGTGTGCGGATAAGCAATGTTTAGATATTGACTTTGACATTTTATGTGAGAAGCAGATGGTCCATTCATGCTTCCTATCATCTCTCAACGGGAGTGGTGGCCAAGGGAAAAGAATCTCATTTACCGGCGCCAACCTCTTATTTCTCGGGGGCTGAGTTCCGGTATCAGGATATAAAAGCCTTCAAGCCGAGTGAGATATCAGTCTTATTCACCTGCAGTTTGAGATATTGGGGGATTTTCATTATAACAGTTTGACACGTAAGTAAAATTTTCAGTTATGTTATTCAGAACTGTATCGCACATGAAACTACTTATATCCAGACTGCGTTCAGTTTAATTTCATAAGTCAAATGTTTTACTCTTATTTATTTCAAAGTCTTGAATTTCCGTGTTTTAAGAAAACTTGATTTACCTGTATCGCGAAGCGCATCGACACCTCATCATAGGGCAACTAGGCACTGAAGCTGGCGATCATATCAATGAAAGATATGTAAATTGGTTTCACACAGTCATTGGATTCTTTCAGTTTTGAGAACTCAAAAAAAATACTTCTTCCTAACGTATCTCAGCCACAAATTTATTTATCCACATGAGTCGAATTCTGTTCCGTGTTGCGTACCAGAGAAATAAATTTATGATGTCTCCTGTTTGTTTCCATCCGGCAGTCTTGATAATTTTGATACTCAGACCTAATTATCCTTTCCTGTATCAATAGCTAAAAAAAAGATATGATATCAATCCTATTACGCAGCAAAATTGCGCGAAATTGTACTGCAACTGCATTTTCAAATAGTTCTTGGAACCCAAAAAAACAGATAACGATCAAACACAACGCCTACAAAAATTGAAACAAAAATCATGTAAACTACTTTAAGCAAATTCATATAACAAATTTTAACATGTGCTGAAGTTAAAGTTCCGTAATGTCTATCATCCCTCAAAGAATGGAGTATGTCTTGCACAACAGCCTTCCTCCAGTGACGCTTATTATTATGAGATTCGAGTGACAGTAGATGACGTGTTTTTGGAAAACTCATCAGGTTATTATTTCATTTTTACACCCACAAGACCTTCCTACGTAATCAGAACAAATAAAGGCTTTTGGGAGTTGCTTGATGGGTCACAAAACGGACGGTTGTCTCGAAGGGTCTTCACGATTCCTGGTGTGGTCTACAACAACAAGGTTTTAATTTCCCTCACTCACACTTTGTTTGTTTTTCTTTTTTAAGAAAGTTAATCTTCTAATAAAGATAAGGTGTTGCAGATATTTTGAGCGGGCGCTTTATATACAGAATATCAGTAATGAGAATAAGGCTTTTGTCGATCCTTGGGGAGCGTACCAATTGAGGGAAGAAAAACGGTGGCCGGCGATCCCCTTTTTGCCGAACAACAAATATAACTGGTAAAATTATCATAAAAAAAAATTGTGCGCTCCTATAGAGAGTTTACTCTACTAACACATGGCCGTTTTATCTGTAGATCAATATGAATCAACTAAAACTGATCCTTCTTATCGCCTGCTTTACTTCTTTCTTGTTCACCGAACTGGCCAACGCACACTTTCGTCTCGGCCGGGGAATGGAGCGAGCCGGCGAGGTGCCCCTGGAAGAAAGGAGGGCCGCCCTGCATGACACTGGCTTCCTAGAAGCGAGAGTAGAGGCCAAGAGGGAAATGTTTTTGAAACGTTTGGAAAACCTCTTAGATAAATATGAAACAAGAGTGCGACGCAGTGAGGACACGGAGAATTAATTAAGGTATGACATTTTGTCGATCGCATTGTAAGACAACTCAACAATGAATAGACATGGTTTGGGTTCTTGTTTAAAGATTTAATGGACGTAACCGAAAAGTTTCAATTCATAGACCCAACGACTAGACACTCCCGTCTAATGCCTTCATCAGAGGTGATCTAATCGCTGCAATAAGAGGTCCCTTTATATGCTCACTAATTAGCTGCCCTTTTTTCTGACGGGGTGTAAATAGGCGTCAGGTAGTAAGACGTCATCATCACGATTTAAAGGAGCGGGAGCAGAGTCGATATACGGCTACATCAATTTATCAAGAATGACACTTTGAACGGTTTGTAAACTTAAGGTAATTGGTTTGAATCTTTGGCAATTGCTGGTCTAAAAGAGTTGAAGGTTGTCTTACAAAGGAGCACTTTAAATTTAAAATTTGACCTCAAATGCACTTTAAATTTCTCGTCTCGTTCAAACGATCATGATAGTTGATGACTGTTGATGTTAGTTTCAACTTTCAATGACTATCATTGACTACCATATTTGTGTTCAAACAGTTCATGATAGTTGATGATAGTTGAAAAAAACACGCAATGAGATCTCATAAGCGTAAAAAGATAAGGTGGACGCTGAGTTCACCAATTTTGTTTCCATTTTATATTTTCGTCAAGAGGTTGCGAAATGAAGATACTGAAGCTTACCAGGAGATGATGAAAATGAAGCACGGGGTATTCTGCGAATATTGACGGCTATATTAGTCATTTTACTATTTGCCATTTTGGCAAAACTGCTGACCGAAAAACTGTCACTCACTATCATCCGTTCGTTCAAACGGCAAAAACTATCATCAACTATCATGTCGAATTTGAACATGTCCAAAATACATGATAGTTATCAATAATCGATGTTGGTGCATAATAGTTCATGTTCAAATGCCCGTGATAGTTGAAACTATCAACAACTTTATACATGGCTTTAGACATGGCGGACAAGGGTGATTTCGGGGGTTTCGTTGACAAATATGCATTTTTGCGCCCGTGTAAAATCCCCATATGCTCTTTGAAATATTTCTGTAAGAAACATAAGAGACATAAAAAAAAATTTTAAAAAAAATTGGTGTTATGTTTCTTTTTCTTCACAGGAATGCGGGATTTTGCAGTTAAAGAAAAAAATACAGAAAATATGAGGGACCCACGAATATTTTCGCTAACTAGTTGTAGATGTAATAGGACATAGTGTCACTCAAGAGTTTCAAAGTGAAATACTTAAATGAATATTCAGCACCTCTAGTATCATTTCAAATCGTGTGTCGTAACAGTTGTCTGTAACAGCTGCCATTGTTAAATCACTTAAATTAGCAAGTTCTTGACATCATTGCAAATGAGGTGTATATTAAATACTTGAAGTACAACGTAACCAAAGTCGTGCTGTTTTTCCTTGTCTTATTTCACCGCTAACTTTATGAAAAGATGTTTCTCAGCCTTTTGTGAAAGTACTTGTTCCTGACCACAGTATTGTATGCTACCAATTTCGTGATGATATTACAAGGGGCGTCACTTATTTCCAGCCAGGAAAGCTCAAACTATCGCAGTGATACAAGAATGCCTAGAGCTCTGCTTAAGGGTGTAAAGCGAGCAGATGGCTGCGCACCTTAGGCCTGATTACGTCACTGCAGGAAGCATGTATTAGCACAAGATGGAATGTGTGGGTCCTTAATCATACTCATAGCATTTAACCATAGAGACCAGACTTTCATTTCAATCTTTAAATGTTCAAAACCACATTCGTGAGAGGGTTATTAGGTCAAATTCATGCGTGTTTGAGTTGAACGTTTGGCAGTTTTATAACGGCTGACAGGTTTAAAATCTATAGTGTTTCCTCATCGGAAACCGTCATGAAAACTGGGCGAAAAGAACCACTCAATATCAAACGTGTGCCAAGGTAAGCCACAAACTGAACCAGTCAGGTTCTTGTAGCTGAGCCATTTGGAAGCACAGTAAACTTTACTCAAAAGTTTTGCGATCGGATATAACATAGGAACGAAAACTGGGAAGTGATTTGCATATTCTCCATCAATAGCTCGTTAAGAGAGCTACAGGCAAAGGCATAGGTGGGGAGGGGGGAAGGGATTGGGGTAATGGGGCGCATGTGATCCCTTCTGACATGACTAGTGATAATGACGATGATGATGACGGTGCCAAAAGAACCCATGCCACTGTTCCCAAATAGGTGTAAGACATTAAGGAAAGGCCCTGTTGGCTTTGTCAAGAAATATTGATCATCCAAAATAAAATAGAAGAACCTGATTTAAACACGAGTGCATGATCGGCTGACAGCCAAATCCTACGTGAAACCTTGAAACTCAATCAAAAGTTGGACTCCTGGGCTGAAAAGTGTGTATCGTTTTAGAATCCTTTGTTTAAATATGATTGAAAAGCTGAAGTAAAGCAATCTGACTAAAGGTGAAGATGTAGAGATTAAAGCTAATGTGAATACCAAATCTTTGTGGCACTCCTAGTTCCCTTGCCCCAAACTCAACTCATGTACAGTCACTTATCCACAAGGTGTTTTTTATTTCGATCTCTATACAGCTTGATACATGTAATGATTTCCATCATGTGCGGGCTTCGTTAAATAAAACATGTTTGCTTTAAGCCGATAATAAGGCTTCCATTCACAGCTGGGAAGTCTCTCCACTCTAGCAACATCTTCATTCACCAAGTTAAAATTGTTTCCGTTTTTTCTGCTGACTGAAAATACAAACAAATACAGCTGAATAACGGTGCTGGGCAGCCATTATGAATATAAAAGTTACTCGATGATGTCGATCCTTTGATAACTCAGACATCGTCTCATCGAGTACATTGTTCTCCAGAATCAGAGATTTCTTTCCCATAGAAAATCTAATCGAACAGCAATAGTCATGTATATTTACCTCTTCAGGTAGCTGGGATGAACATGTTCCAACAATCTTCTCCTATGTGTTTCAGGAGTGCTACGTCTGTAGTTGAAATAATAATATAAAAATATAGACTAATTCAAAACAGAAAAACTTAAAATTCTGTTCAGTGAGAGGGAGAAATTTAACGCTAAATATCAATTCATGATTTTATATTTACTAAATCTTGCTGTTGGCGCTAAGGAAACTTATAAGAACTTCAAGGAAACCAGCATCTCATATTGATCGACACTGTCTAACGTACACTCACAATGTAAGATCTACTTTACAATTGAGACCAACAAAACTAAAACAACAAACTTTGTACCAACCAAGCACATGGCCCTTTACATTATACCCTTAAACAACCAGTAATTTTCTTAAATCTGCGCTTTTTGGTCAAAGAAGACGGCTCTTAGTCTAGAATTTTTTTTGTTTCAAGACACTTTCGGTTTTTCTCATAACTATATTTATGTCTAGTTAAGGGTTCAATCATGAAACTTTGCATCATTATTCGTGTTACAATATACTTGTAATTGTGCAGTACAATAATTCTACGGACAATAATTCTACGTACAATTCTTTCTCGATGCTTTCTTCTGTGTCAATTTTGTTGCTATTCCTTTGTAGCCAATCAGATGCACTCTCCTTCGTAAGTCCTTCTTGGTCGCTTAGCTGACGCATTTGCCAAGGACGGAGATGTTCAGACCACTTATGTTGTTCACGGCCTATTTTGAAATGAGCACTCACCGCACCCAATAAGAATGTAGTAACAGAGAAAGCAACGATGTAGTGACAAAAATAGCTTCTTGACGCCATGAAGGATGCTTCCTTTAAAGAAAGAAAATGAATCAGTTTTCTGAATATGATAACATCCCGCGTAAGACAAAAATCTATTTTGTAACACGTTAAGTCGTATTATTTGTGGAAAATCAAGCATATTGACACTCTCCTGGACCAATGCAATTTGACTATCGGTTTTTATTGTCACCAAGTTTACTGTATCCTTTCTTTACTAGTCTCAATTCTCGAATTGAATTTCAAGTGAATAAGAAAAAAGGTGTTTAGAACCCGGTGAATTATTTAGAATTTTTACAGTGCCTCAGCTGATGAGGCAAAACATCAGCTGATAGCAAAACAGGAAAAGAAATAGCTTACCGAAAAAGCATAAAACCAGCACACACAAAAAATTCCAAGTATACGCGATTTTAGTTTTTATACCCCACATAAGTAAAAAGGAAAAAGTAGGAACATCTTCAGTAACTAAACACGACTAAATGTTTTTAAGAAGTTGTCACTTATTTAAAAACCAATTTCACTTACCTAGTTGTGTTTTACGATGTGCAGCCGCACACTGTCTAGTCTTTCTTGGTGCGCTGGATTCTATATAAGATTCCGCTCTGGTGTCTTGACGCTGAACTTTCGTGAAGATCTTTCTGATAGATGTAGGTGTTGAAGCCTCTGGCTGCTGTTCCTTTTTTCAGCTACCTTTCCTTCTTATGGGATTGAATTACAAAGACCACGCAGTGAAATAGGTACAAATGTTCGGCTCAGTAGCCAATCAAGACAAGTTTGCTAAATTTAGGGGCACTTCTGTGGAACATTGACTTTTGCAAGCACACTCGGAAAACGTGGAAATCTGTACTTAGAGCCGCTTCGTGCTAAGTTTTTTATAGTAACCATTATAAAGGAAAAAACAGTCTTCATCAAATTAACAACCGGAGTACAAGATTGCCTGCACCTTAGACAAAAAAGAAACAATTTATTTTATTGGCTTTTAGGTTAACTCGTGAAGAAATAGTCACTTAACCACTTCACACATCAGGAACTCCTGTTATAACCACTTATTTGTGCTAATGGTTTTGTTTGTATGGTAATGAATAGAATGCACGTCAATTAAGCAATTTTAGTGGTCATATCCTTCTTGTCAAGTACTTCACTATCGGAAAATGGTCCCTTAAACACTTGATTGTGTTGACAGTAGTGAAGTACATCCTTAATGCCAACACAATTTTAACATATTTCTAACAAATATAAACGGAGGGGAAGACGGTAAAACCAATTTTTTTCCATCTTCAAAAGTAGGTCAGAAAAGGTTTTCTGAGCTATTTAACGGATAGTCAGACAGATCTTTAACAATTTCAAATTTTCCCTGTAAACATCGTACTAATTTTAGAATATGACTTGATCAAAAATCGATTTTTGTGTCAAAAATGACAATAATTTTAAACTAATCGACGGCAAAACGTGTTATGTCTTTGATATCTTACTATTACTTAATATTATCATAACTATTATTATCATTGTTATCATTGTATCATCATCATCACCTTCATCATTATGATTTTTTATCTTTATCACTATTAATATTGTCATCATTAAGTTCCTTTTTGAATAAGAGGATTGCTAAACAGCAACATAAAAAAAAAACAAGATATATTGCTCACGCTTAATTTATAAGACACAACTGCCCGGCCCGCGATTAGGTGAAATAACAGTCAGTACCTAAGTTTACTGGGCTATACAGCCTGCTCAGATTAATCTTCGACTTCGTCTCTGTCAAATAGGGCAAAGTTCCTTTTATCAGAAAATTATGAATGAGACATTAGAGGTTAGGCGTGAAAATAGGTGTGAATAAAGAGGTTCTTTCTGAGAAAAGGTGAAAGAGTGCTCGTAAATTCTGAAAGGAGTCTTGAGTATTAGCCCTCCTTCACCCTACTGTACGAGCAATGCAATTTGCGTTCACTCGTCGTCTGTACATAATATTTTATTTCCATTCTTATAGGGACGATTCATTTTCAGAGTGGGATTTTTCTCGCTTAGTTCTATTTCACCAACAGGCTCTTAGTTTGTTTTATTATTTCGTGGAGTTCTCTTTCAAGGAACAATGGATGTCCTTTCATCTATCTCCCTTTTTTTCCATTCTTCTATCGACTGATGCTAGGAAAGGAAAAAACAGAATTGTTACTTAATTGTTACGCTATTTTTCAGGTACCTTTTACTAATGGCAGCAACTGCGAGTAATAAAAGCTAGGCGAATGTTTCACATTCCCTCAAAGAGAATTCGGCCTAGCCCAACTATCTCGGCAGTCCAAAGAGTGTATTTCCTTACAACCTCCTTAGTCTACAAATAGTGATCGTTTAAAGAATTCCTTTAAGATCAATTTTTGATACTGCGGCAACCACAAAATAGTTAGAGGTATGTTACCTCTAATAGTTTTAATAAAGTTGTCCATTATGGAGAAAAAGTCAGAGGTAAAAGCTTAACACCGGGTATCCAGTCGTTACGTACCCAGTCGTTTCGTACCCAATTTCAGTCAATTCGTACCCATTTTGAGCCGGCTTGTACCCGAAATCAAAATACATCAAGAGCTGCTAGCGCGAGTGCATGAACAGATTTCGATTGTTCCCTACAACAAGTTAACGTGTAAGGTACAAGCAAAATTCTGTGTATGTTTGAGACCTTCGCGACAAAAAGCGCAAGGTGAGAGTGATATTTTTAATAGAACAGTCTATTGTTTATATTTGTAACTATCTTTACCATAACAGCTGGTGAAAGTGTGATTTTTTTTTCCTGCCAATGGTATTAACGGTAATAAATTAGTTTATTGTTCGTCATTTATTTATGCTATTTTTATTTTAAAGGTACTTATCATGGAAAACATACTTTATTAGTATGGGTACAAAACGACTCAACTGACTAGGTACGAACCGACCAAGCTGGATACAAAACGACCGTGAGTACTGGTAATCTAACGACAAATACGAAAAATAATAAAGGTTATTTTCGATGGGTACATTGTAGGATATGGGACGTTCACGAATCTGA